TTAAATATTTATCTTCTTCAATAGGGTGTTTGGCCTGTCCATGTTTGCTCTTTCTATCTAACCCCTTGCTGGTCAAAGAAGCAATGCCATGAGCAGTCATCAAAATATTCAAAGCTTTTTGTTCTGTTCCCACTCCAGACATTTTTAACCCATAATTTTTATTAGCAGATAAATCGTTCTATTTGCATTCGGTATGACTTCATCAGTGTTTGTTGTTGTTTATTTATTGTGGTTATAGTAGTAGAGTTGAAACATTCATCGTAGTTTAGCATGAGAATTGATTTTGACTTTTTAGTTTGTTATACCTTATGGAATTGTTGCTTTAATTCAGGGAAGGATCAGCTTCGGAGCTTGATCCCAATCTATCATAGAGCTAAAACAAACTGTTTCGGATGTGTATTCTCTTGGGAGTTGTATATGTCAATTTGTCCACATGTTTGTATAAGAATCTTTATTGTTCTTCGAGATGCCAGTGTTTGCTATAGAATGTTCATGCCTCCTGGTTGTGCAGACTTCATGTCCATATGAGTTAATTAAATAAAATAGAAATGCTTTGTATTACTTTTCAATCATCATTCATTAACTATATACGGATGGGGATGTCTGGTAATAGTAGTTTGCAAAGGAATTATTTCTCATGGAATTTTTACAGGTTACTCATCCTTTGCCTTCTGGAGAATGATATGATACTGCAAATGGCTAGAGAATTTTGTGGTTTTCGCCAATCTGAAAATCTCAGCTGTGAACAACTCAAGCAGTCTATTTCCAGGGTCACGCAGCTTATTTCATCTATTCCTGACAAAGCAAGACGAGGAGCTCCGACTTCACTTTCCCCGCAGTATCCTTATTATTGAATTGTAGCAGAACTCTGGTGTTAGTTAGTTTTTACCCCAAAATAATATAGAAAAAGAAGGTGTAGGTCTTCTGTTCTTCTGAATCTGTTATATTGAGGCAGACCCTATCATCGATTCTCTACTTAAATATGTGGTATAAAGCCTAAATATGTTCTTATTTTCAATAGCCAGAGACATTCACTTAAAAAAGTTATATTTGGCTGCATGTACTAGAAAACCGCATGTTAAACCACAGTGCAGTAGCTGCCACCGTCATATTTTTAGGTTCTAAATAATATCATTCTTCATTCTTTGCAATTTTGTTTGTGGTCTTCTTCTTTTCTCTTTGCTTTTTGGCCTTTTCTCTTTCCTTTACTCCATCTTTCAGTTTGTTCTTCAAAAGACTTACCATACAGCTTCTTTATGGAGTGGAGGAATGGGATCTGAAGTTAGTGGACAAGTTAGCTGTTGCTGCTGACGATAGCCATACTAATGGTGCTATTCTTTTCATTGGAGAAATTTTTTCCCGTATCTGTCGTCGAGGATCCACTGGTATTTTGATATTCTTAGAGTCTAAAGTCCAAATACCTAGGGATCCACATATTTTATGCATCAAAACTACAAAGTAGCATAAACCCTAGCCTTTTCACAACTTTTGCATTTTTGGCAGATGTGCTGCTGAGTGAGGTGGTCCCACGGATTCTTGGGCATGTTAGGAGTGTTTTGTCATCAACCTCTGATCTGGATATTAGTGAAATATTTGAGTCGAAACCTGGTTCAAATTTCTGGATGAAGATAATGGAGGCGGTAAGTGATTCCCATTCAGTGGAAAGAATAGCTGAAGAGCTCTTGCGTCAACTAGCTGTTGAAGATGTCAATGATACTGAGGGTTACTGGGTTCTGTGGATACTCTTTGGCCGAATCTATAAACGTCAGGCTTCAATCAGGTACAAAAAGAATTATTGAGCATTTTTTCCTTTGTTCATTTACTTCAACCTAAAGCGGTCCATTTAAAATTTATTGAAGCATTTCCGCTACACATGCATGTATTAACACTAGTAGAAATAAATTCTTACTAAATAAACTACCATTATAAGTTGATTATCATGATTGTGCACCTGGTGTGCACAAGTCTTTTATATTCCCCGATTTGTTCCGGTTGTGGTATGAACTGTCCTCCAATTTTTTGTCGACTTTAGCTTCACGTACTTCCATATTTATATAATGTAGATATGTTGTTTTACCGCTCATTAGATGATATTTCAGGCATTTTGTTCCTTTGTGTTCCAGGTTTACTTTTGTGGAGAAATTTTTACTGTGGAAAGTATTTCCCACCTGTTGCTTGAGATGGATTATTCATTTTGCCGTGCTTAAATACTGTCCAGATAGTTCTTCACTAAAATCTTATGATTCTCGTAGTCTCTCCGACACTGTTCATCATCTTGTGGTATCATGGTCTAGGAAAGAGTTTGTGCAATCATCTCCGACCGAGCAGCAAGCTTGTATCCTCTATATTTAACTACCACTGTTAGTAACAAAGATAAAAATATTTTGGTACACCACTATTAAACAAGAAAAAATTTGTTTGTAGCTTGCTTTTGGAAAGGAACTTTATAAGATTACCACTCCATATCTGCCCTATAAACATATTGCTTATATTGTTTTGAATTTCATCATTTTATTAATGCTAATATATTTTACCACAGCTACACCTTAACTAGGATACAGATGTTACTGCTGCTTTAGGCCTTTGCCTTGAGAAGATGACTAAAACTGATCTTGATGCTACAAAGGATGGACTGCACTCAATTCTTCAGGGCATTAGTTGTAAGATTTGGTTCTTTCTTTCTTATTTGGAAAGTATCTCATTCATTTATCTAAATTATTAATCTTTACTTAATTTTCAAACTGCTGGCAGGTAGGTTGGAGAGCCCTGTTTATCTGATACGGAAAATGGCAAGTGTTATTGCTCTTGTATTCTCTAGGATTATAGACCCTCAAAACCCTTTGTATCTTGATGATAGTTTTCGGGAAGAGACCATTGACTGGGACTTCGGGTTGGCCATCCCCAGAGAACGTTCTGTTACAGAAACAGTCTGTAATGATGAAAACACAATCCATGGAGAGAAGTGTTCAACCATAATGTCAAAAGAAGAAACTCTTAGGGGTGCAAATAATGGGTTGAATGGTTCTTCAAAAGTTAAAAAGAAGAAGGAATCCGTTAATACCTTAATCGACCCTGATGAAGTTGTTGATCCAGCATCATTAAATGATGAATTGAACTTTGGTGGAGATGACAATGACAATGCAAGTGAGGACTCTGAGGATTCATATGACTCAAGTTTGCAACCTTATGACTTGGCAGATGATGATGCGGATCTGAAAAGAAATTTTACACAGTTGGTTGATGTGGTTGCAGCACTGAGAAAATCAGATGATGCTGATGGTGTAAGTATGATATGCTTATTTTTGTGAATATTATTGTCTGTACAGCAGTTTTTCGAGCAAATCTATACTGATATTTGAAGCTATTGAACCTAACATGCGGCCCTTGGTTAATTAACTGCCTTTATGTGTACGATAGTTGTCTGTGGTTACCAGTTTATTTGTTCCGTCATCAAAGCTTACTCACTGTTAGCATCTCAAGAGTAATTTATTTATTGAAAATGTTATAGGGCATTGACTTTTAATCCTTCTTATTTCCTCTGGTTTTTTAATTTTTTTTTTAACAAAATGGTGGTATAAAGTTAAATCAGATATTGGGCTATATTTCTTTCTTAAAATCATACGATCAAGATGTGTCATTCTCAGAAGAGCATTCTCTTATAATTTTCTTTTCTTATTCTTTTTTTTTTCCAGGTTGAAAAGGCCCTTGATGTTGTGGAGAAGCTTATTCGAGCATCACCAGATGAACTCAAGTATATAGCAGGTGAACTAGCGAAAGTTCTCATTCAGGTCCGTTGCTCAGACTTCACCGTGGAAGGGGAAGAAGAATCGGCTGAAGAGAAAAGACAGAAGGCTTTGGTGGCACTGATTGTCACATGCCCTCTTGAGTCTCTCGACAGCTTGAGTAAACTGCTCTATTCCCCTAATGTAGACATCAGCCAGCGGATCATGATTTTGGATGTGATGTCAGATGCAGCTCAGGAGCTTGCAAGTGCTAGAGTAGTACTGAAATCAGAACATAAACGTCCAGTGGTTTTGATATCGTCCACCGAAGGTCAACCATGGTTTGTGCCTAGAAACACCGGTCAACCAGGATTAGGGCCCTGGAAGGAGATTTCACAATCTCCATTGAACTGGTCTTACTCTTATGAAAGAGAATTACCGGCCAAAGTCAGTAACAGGAGGATAAGTAGGGGAAAGACAAGACGGTGGAGCCTTCGGTTGGGGGTACAGGATAATCAGATGGAATCATCACAGAATATGTTTCCCCAATATGCAGCGGTATTTATGCTTCCGGCTATGCAAGGATATGACAGAAAGAAACACGGTGTGGATTTAGTGGGAAGAGATTTTGTTGTCCTGGGAAAGCTCATCCACATGCTTGGTGTTTGTATGAAATGTTCGGCTATGCATCCTGAGGCTTCTGTTCTGGTGTCCCCTCTATTGGATATGCTGAGAACTAGGTACTGTTAATTTACAACTGCCATGAACTGGCCATGGTCATTCCTTGTATATTTGAAGAGTAAATGTCATTTGCAAAACGTGTGTTATGCTGTACGAGGAATACATTATGTTTGATGGATCCTAATTCTTTTTAATTTTCTTTCAGTTTTTGTTTCTTCAAATTTTGATGATTCTCAGATTCTTTTTAATTTTCTTTCAGTTTTTGTTTCTTCAAATTTTGATGATTCTCAGTTTTTAAGGGTCAATTAATTAGTTTGTTGAGATTTCCAGTTTTTCTTAAGGGTACTTTTGTTGATTTTTCGGAATTTTCTTTTCAGACCCTCTAAAACATGAGTGTACCTCGTTTTTATGACATTCTTGCCTTAACTTAAGGCGTTAACTGGATTTCTAATTATATTGTACAGGGAAATATCACAACATGCAGAAGCATATGTGAGAAGGTCCGTCCTTTTTGCGGCTTCGTGTGTTCTTTTGGCGCTTCATCCATCGTATGTTGCATCCGCTGTGGTTGAGGGAAATATTGAAATATCCGAAGGGCTCGAGTGGGTTCGCACATGGGCACTGAAGGTGACTGAGTCAGACACAGACAGAGAATGTCATACAGTATGCAAAGTTGCTATAATCCAAAAACTGGAATTTTAATTATTCTAATTCCTCTGTTTTCATGGTGCTGGTTTTTATACTGTATCGAATTGTTTGTTAAGTTTCACTATGCACGGTTTGCTATTAAAATCTAACTGAAAATAGAACTGAGTTTGACATGGCTAAGGTTTCGGTAAATATCTGCGGTTCACTAAAACTTGGCTGCTTTGTACAGTTTAAGCTTCTTGTTTACTCGCCATATTTTGTCCAAACTTTTGGTTTATCCCCAAAAGCTAGCCTAAAGGGAGAGGGTTCCCAATCCACATTTATACACAACAACCCTGTAACAAATTGACATAACTTCATACAGTAATATAGTACTGATTCTTGACAAATACTGATCTAGTTGAACTTTATGGAATCTTGACTGTGTTCATCAAGTTGAACCTTTCTGCTATTTCGGAAATCGATTTCTTATACTAAATAAACATGTTGAATGCTGATTGAATATTAAATGACACCACCCTACGCAAAGCTTTACCATTGTATTACTGCCTTACATATGGATAGAGCCTTATCCCGTTTTACAAAAGTGTCTGAATAGTTGGGTTAGTGATAAATCGAGGATTGACCCAATTACAGGAATTCCCTGCTAGCTTTCAGAATTACAAAAGGTACCCTGACATTTGGTCGTCTTTCATTTTTACCCTTACATGATCAAATATCAATCAGTAGCCCTTCTATTTACTAGAAAAACCGTTAGCCTCTTAATACTACCTCTAAATGGAATTTCATGTTTACTTTTGCGTAGTCTGGTTTAAATATCAGGAGCAAGTTTTATTGTTAACCCTTATTAGTTTTTCAGATCTCCTCACATGTAACTTCTATTTTATGTTTACTTATGGTGTTTTACGTTTTATGATGTAGCTGGCCATGGCATGTCTCCAGCTCCATGCGGAAATGGCTCTGCAAGCTTCTCGGGCACTTGAGGGGTTTAAAGATACGCCAACTGCAAAGAGCATTAATTTGTTCCCAGCTGTACCGAGTAGATCAATTAAGATCCCCTACTTGAATTCGTAAATTTTATGTATATCAATAGATGTTCCTTGTGTACTCTTTTTGATGTACAGAATATTGATGTATGCAGAACTTCCTATACATGTTTTGCCGGTACATGTAACAAAAAATCCTGTTTAAACATGTTTAGAAATATTATCTATAAAATTGAGTTAGAGATAATTACGCCGGGAACGACCTGTAGGACATTTATTTGCACCTTTACGAGTCAATTAAAAATATTAGTAAATGTGCATAATCTTGTACTTTTAATTGCAACTTTTTCCCCTTTTTATTTTCTTTTTCTTTTTTCTTTTCTTTTCTTTTTTTCTTTTCCTTCTTTCTTCTTACTCCCGTCATTTTCTTTTCTTCTTCTTTATCGATCTCCAATTTTCTTCCAGTTCTCAATTTTAGAAATTCCTTTTCAATTGTCTTCTCTTTGAGTTTGCAAGCCTCCAGACCCACGATTTGCGGCGGTTGGAGAGGGCTGACAGACCGCCAGTTGACGATGGTCCCGTCAGCTATAGCGGGGTCGGTCCGAGCTTTACGGTGGCAGTCGTGCGACGCGGTCTCGGGTCGATGCAGCTGCGTGTAGAGGATTCGGTTTCTCGCGCGATCGGTGGCTCGGCGGGGGTAGACCGACAGCTTTAGATCTGTGTATGTGAAGATGTGTTGAAACCTTCTTCCTTAGGGTTTGAATATTCCCGGTGAGGGTGCTGGGGTTCGATTCAATTGAGTTCGTGAACCACCGAATCCAGATCTATAAAGGGATTTTCACCAGGAAATAAAAACAGAAGCTCGTCTGTGGAGGCAGGGAATTATCACAAAGCAATTCCATCGTGCGGGACTATGGCTTGACCGGCAGCAACGTCTTGCATTTGATCCTCCGTCTCTCGGACCTTCAGGGCATTACGGTGAAAAAGTGCGGTGGAAAAAGAGTTCACTTTTCACGTTGAAGAAGAAACCGCAGTAGATGATTATGAAGGGAAGTTTTAAAAGTATATGTTGTGTATATAGACAGTATATAAGCAGTATATTATCAAGATCCAGATTATCGATCGTATATGTTGTGTATTTTCAGTATATGTTTTTGTAGGCAGAATCACATATATGTTTAGTTTATAAAACATGTTAATGCAAGGTCTAGGTTTCCAATGTTCATCACAATTGTCTATTGTGGTTATAATTTGTAACGCCCCAAATCAGAAATATTATTAAGAACGGTTTCACTGCTCGACTATAAGTGATATCCGTAATTTTCAGAAATCCTAAGTTATATTTCGTATGCTAAATGCTCTATTTATTTCTTAAGTTTGATAGATCACTCTTTGGGAAAATTCTATATCAAGTTTAATTCAAGATCAATCCATTAATTTGGGTTGTTAAATTATAGCTAATCGACTCGAGAATTTATTTGGTTCGAACCCTAGTTTTGGTTCTGAGTCATTTCTCTAGTCGTTTCCGAGCATAGCCAAGTCTTGGTATTTTTATACTTAGAATAATTTCTAAGTGTATTAGAATATCAAAGTCAAGTCTTGAACATTTAAATCGAGCCCTAGCCCATGCTCGAGCCACTCGTGCCGAGTGCTCGCGCTGCCGCGCATGCACTACCTCCCGAGCCAAGACCGAGTCCGTTGCTACCAACCCTTCTTCAATCTTATGGATTAAACCATGCATGCACATTAGAGAGTGCATTAGAGATATTTTAAGTCTAAGTCATGCCCAATTAAGTTAGTATGGGCATGCAATATTATAATACATGGTGTAAGACCATGTTTCCCTCTATCCTTATGCTTGTATCAGACCAAAATCAGTCCCATTCAGCTCCAATAACTCGTGCAATAGCCCTTGGTGCTCCACCATGTCATGCCTTGCGTTGGAAATGAGTACATTAGCTTTTGTTCCCCACTTTGTCTCCATGTTGTGCCTAATTTCTAACGCCATTTGAGGTCTTTATAAGCCCTCACTTCATCAATGACCCTCATTTGATTCCTCAGCATTTGCTTAGTATAATTGAGAGAAATTTCGTCCAAGTACCTCCCATTAAGATAAAAGCCGAGGGGAAAAATTCAAGAACACACAAAATCCTGAGTGCACACTTGTGTTTATTTTCAAATTCTAGCCATCAACTCTTGCTACCAACCATATTATATTACTGTTAACCCATTCTAAACTTCCCATAGAAGTGTTTTGAGTCATTAAACTCAAGAAAATTCGAAGAGAACAAGCCACAAAGCCGCAGCAACAAGAACCAAGCAAAAACCGAGCACACCGAGCTCCTTTGCATTTTTGAGAAGTTTTCAAAGTTAGTTTGCTAAATACTTTTTAGGACTTGTTATGCATGATATGAGGATGAGAATGATGTGTTTTGATGGCTTATAGGTTCAGTTTTTGAGTAGTTATAAGCATGCAAAATGTTAAAGTTGTTTCAGCTCACCCGCATGTTGTTTATGTGATGTTTGCTTGCTTTTTTACCTGTGCTATGCCAAACCTGCTATTGTGAGACTTACATATATATTTCTTGTGGAAGAGAGGAGTTCATAGGATCAAGAATTAGGTCAATTCGCTTAGTATGACTCGAGTTCTTGATTTTTAAAGTTAAACATGCAAGATGAACTTTATATGCGCGAATTTCAGTTGCGATTTCAAACGCGTAGAACTTGAGTTATACTCAGGATAAAATTATAACATTTTATGGACATGTTTATATAGTAGTTGAGAGCCTCCATACCAAATTTTATGATTTTATCATAAGAAATGAAGGAGTTATAATTTTTAGATCGCATGCGTGTCGAACTAATTTTATGTGCGAGAGTACTCTGTCCACATGCAAGCTATGAATGCGGAACTTTTATGTAAAATTCTCTTATGAGCGGTGAACATTGTGACCAAGTTTGAGTTTAAAATGTTGATCATGTGATTTTACAATATTATTGCAATATGCGCATGTATATAACTGAATTTCATGTTATGCTTACGTCATGGGTTTAATAAGAAAATGAAGTCCTATTGACATGAAATTTGGACAGCAAGTACATGTCTATGTCTACTATATAACTGCCAAGTTTCATGATTTTTGGAGACTTGTGTGAGTTTTAAAAATTCATGAGGTTAAGAGCTCAATTATGTTCGGTTTAAATTTTAGATAAATGTAAAATCTTGATTTAATTGAGCTTCATGAGTAGACATGGCTTCATATAAGTTAAGTGGCTGGAGAGGGTCACCTTCCCGCCCTGACCGGCAAGTAGCCAGTGCCGCACGATCAGCGTGCGCGCGTGCCACCCGGACCGAGCCTAGGTCACCAGTCGAACTCGAGCCGGTTCCGTAAACGGACCGGTTCGACTAAGTTAGACCGGCTGGTTCAAACCAGATTAAGATAGACTGATAAATTCAGTTTCCAAGATTCAGTCAAACTTTATCCAGAAATGCTAGATTAGTCCCGTCGAGCAGAAGAGCAAGTCCAGTTTACTTGTTTACGTGATCTTATTTGTTTTATCTGTTTTGTTATGTATGCATGTAATTATTTATCTGTAATCTACCTTATCTGCCTGCCTGCTTATCTGTTATAATATAAAATGACCATTTCAGATTAAGTTTAGCAGTCAAGCAAAATACTTAGATTATTTTGCTTGTATATGTTTGGTAGCTTGAGGAGAGTCGAGCACTTGCGTAGTCCTTTTTAGCATAACAGGTGGGGGTTATGTACTAGATTCAACATCATGTATAATATCTGTACCATGACAGAGGTATGTTCGAGACAGTTAGTTTCTCCCAGGTGGAGGCCGAGGGCCTTAATATTCTATCTTGGGACCCGGTGGAGGCCAAGGGCCTTAATATCCCATCGGGGTGTGCACACGAGCGGCCAAGGGCCGAGGGTCTTTTGACCACAGTAAGCAAGAAAAGAAAAGTTTACAGTTTAAGCTCTTATATATTTATGTTCATGACACGTTATTATAAATGTTGTTTTATTCAGTACTGGTCTTTGCGGAGCATAGTGGTTTACTCACGCCCCTATTGTGTTTTTCAAGAGACGGAGTCGAGCGTGCTGGATGAGCACAGACGTGGCAAAGCGTCGTCATGAGAGTCTTGGACATTTTTACGCACATTTTATGTCCCAGTATTTATGATCACGTATTATTCGGATATCTATGCATGTATTTTCTGTATTTCGGATGCTTCCGCTAGCAGGCTAGACAGTGCGAGAAAGTTCAGACATTGCATGTTTAATTCCATTATCCGTAGCGGATAGTTTGGTTGTGTTAAAACATATGTCTGTGAGCAAGTTAAGTAAGTTTTTATCTGTGACATCCTGCAACAAGTTAGTATTTTCGAAAACCAAGTTTTTATCTGTGACATCCCACAATACAAATAAATAAATTTTTCATATGGCACAATTATTAGCAAAATAAAATGACAACACATCGTAAATTGAAATTCAAATAAGATATACAACAACCACACTAGAGCATAATAGATTAAAAAAAAACACACACACACACACACACACATAATAACTACTTCATACACAATCAATGAAACAAAAATTACAACAAAATGATCCTAGCAATTACCATTAAAACCTTAAAAGCTCAACTAAAATGAGAAGGTAGATAAAGACAATTAGACAAATGTTTAAAAGTATAACTTACTATTAAATAACAAATTAAATCGTCTTCTTGAAAGTAATCTTTCTTGTTGAGTAGATTTATTTATTTATTAATTTATTATTATTATTATTATTATTATTCTACATTCAGAGGAGGGGCATGTCGTGACTAATTTATTTAATTGGAATTAGATATATAGTGATGTTTTGTGAGTTAGTGCCTAGTGGAAATGATGAATCAACAATATATAGAATTTTATTATAGTGGTGTTTGTAGTCTTTGAACATAAATAGATAAGTAAATTATTTTGGTGGGTTACTGGGTTGATTTATTTGGCTGAGCTATAAATACAATACATTTTTGAGGAATTTGCACCCCTTACTCCCCCATATGAAATATATTATAATTATGCACCCCTTTTACAAATATTTGTATAAGTACCTAAACAAGCCTAATTATTTGCTATTATACCTAAACAGTAAAATTAAGTAAATTATATCAGATAATTAAATACATCAGATAATTAAGGAAACGTTACTGATTTTACGGCCATTTTGAATGCACTCAATATCTTTTCAACAAAAAAACCGCCCACTCCCACCGCCTACGTTCACCGTCGTGCACAGAAGGAAAACTCTCTTTCCGAAGATACTCCAATGGCGAAGACAAAAATCGCTCGAGATCCTCGAAAAAAAACGGCGAACGAAGA